TTGGAGAATAGCTTGACTCCCTCTTCTTTGGGGCAGCCCCTGAGATATTGGAATACTGCTATCATGTCCCCCCTCGTCCTTCTCTTCATTAAACTAACCCACCCCGACTTTCCGTGTTGCAGTGAAGATGTAGAAAAAGCAACACATGCATAAAATGGCTTCTTCATCCACAAAACAGACAGTTGCGCATACTAATTATACGTTCAAAAGCCGGCAGACGTTAAGTTAGATCAATTGGAATTTGGCATCATTGTTTTGAGCAGATGATTATGTGCCTCCTGTTAAAACTTTTTTTTTTTTTGTCCTTCCCGAATTTGCAAGCCTGAAAAATAATTACATCTCCAGTAGGAGCCACGTGTGTTCCAATTATGGAAACAACAGGTCTGCAATTTCAAGTAAACTTTCTCTAATAAAAATGGGTGGTTCTGTTTCTCCGAGACGAGTGATAAAAATTGAAATCTGTCATTACTACCTGGCACTTCCCCGTTCATTGACGCAAACATTTATCCTGCCATCTGTCAGGAACAATCCCAGCAAAATCATAAGAGAAACACACTCAGGGAAAGACGAAAGTGTAGAAAACTGTCAGTTCAGGCAGTCCTTGATTTCCAACAGTTCATTTAGTGACCATTCGCAATTACGGCATTGAAAAAAGTCACTTATGACTGTGAGAGGGGAATATTTGTAACTTAGGGTTGAACTGTGGGGTCCTTGGTGCTCTGGGAGCTTGGTGGTTCTGTTGCAGACGTTTCATGACCCATCTAGGTGACATCATCAGTGCTAGGAGAAAGCGGGGTGTGTGGAGAGGAGGAGGAGGAGGATTGTGGGGTCCTCGCTGCTCTCTGAGCTTGGTAGTTTTTTTGCAGACGTTTCATTACCAAACTAGGTAACAACATCAGTGCTCCCTAACAACCCCACACGATTAAAAGTGTTTTCCAAACAAGATGTATTATACTGTTACTTTTTTTAAAAAAAAAAACAACAATATGAGTTTGTAGCTAGCTTTTCATTCAACTTCCTTAAAAATACTGTTTTTCTCAGGCCCTTTCTTATGAGAATTCACTTCTTTATATAACGGGATTTTTGAAACATTACTCCACTGGATTGCTATATTACGTTTCAAAGCACTAGCCAATATGCTGTTTAGAATAGAATAGAATAGAAGAGAAGAGAATAGAAGAGAAGAGAAGAGAAGAGAAGAGAAGAGGAAATAGAATAGAATAGAATAGAAGAGAAGAGAAGAGAAGAGAAGAGAAGAGGAAATAGAATAGAATAGAATAGAATAGAATAGAATAGAATAGAATAGAATAGAATAGAATAGAATAGAATAGAATAGAATAGAATAGAATGGGACCTTGGAACCAATCTGATTGACATCACCAGTAGAACCTGGTTGAATTATTAGTCAAGTAAAACCCTTCCTCAAAATAGCTGATAAAATGGAGACAGTACAGAGGTGTGAGAAGAACATACCGTTATCAAATTCTATACTATTTCAAAATTTATTGCAACATTTTATAACAGTTGTGATGTCTACGGAAATTCTCAGTCATCCAGGTCATGGCTGTCCAGTTGCCTTTTGAAAAAGCACCTTTGAGACTACCAGTTGTGATGAATTTCCTTCATGGCAAGTTCCAAGTATTGACTAATAACAATCCCTTTATCCTGAAATCTCTTCCAGTTAATTATCCCCAGAGCTGATTAATTACACTGACACAAATATTTCAGCTTGATCGTCCCCATAAGTAGCTCAGAGTCAGTGGACATTCTAAGTGCAAATCATTAATGTTTTTAAAAGATTATTCACAGTAGCCCTGTATCTGCGAACTTAAGGCGAGAGGTGTAACTTACACTCATTTAGGAGCTGGGTCTTTTGGGACTATAGGCTCTGTGGACTTCTGGATTTTATCTTTAAGATGTCCACTGCAGTTACATTGACCCCCCAACTGATGACCTTGTCTATGGAGATTTTCAATCATCCAGATCATGGCTGTCCCAAAAATATGATTTTTCCAAAAGGCGTGACCGCCATCTTGTCTTCCCATCCATGCTTGACAACGTGGGCATAAATCAACAATCAGCAGGAGAAAAAATATGGAATAAGACACCAGAGCTCATGTCCCTGGCTTCCTCCCCCCCCCTTCTTTCCACAGTTCATTTGGGGGTTTATTATTTCCTTCCCTAGGGCCAGCCGAACTGACAGATCCCCGCTCCAGATACAAAATAATACAAAATGGTTAACCCCCCCCTTAAGTCTAGAGAAACAACAGATCAAATTACCATCACTCCATTTGACAGGCCTGGCTTAGAAGAAGAATCTGACTCCTTGCCGCAGAGCACAAAGTGTGAGAGTTGACAATGATAAGTCCCCAGGCAAAGGTATCTGAGAAGACCCCTCCCCTCCCATTCCTGCCTCCCTGACATCTTGAAATATTCACATGAACTCTACAATCAGGGCCATCTTTAACCGGGGTGAAGTGCCCCTCAATCCCTGTTGCCAAAACACACAGCTTCTCCACATCTCTGCGTCATTGAAAACAAGCAGCGGGGCAAGTAAAACATCACAGCCCAAGCTCAACATAGCTTGGAGAAACGGGTCGTAGAATCCATAATATTGTGGAGAAAAATTGTGAGGTGGTATGAAGAGATGAGAGCTACGTTGCTCTCTAGTGGTTAAGGTGCCAGGCTAGGAAACAGGAGATGGCGAGTTCTAGTCCTGCCTTAGGTATGAAAGCCAGCTGGCTGGCTTTAAGTCAATCACAGGAGACTGTGAGTTCTAGTCCTGCCTTAGGCGTGAAATCCCGTTGGGTGACTTTGGGCCAGCCACCAGGAGACTGTGAGTTCTAGTCCTGCCTTAGGCGTGAAAGCCTGTTGGGTGACTCTGGGCTAGTCCCGCTCTCTCAACCCAACCCACCTCATAGGGAAAATAGAAGGAGGGAGGTGTATTGGATATGTTCACCGCCTTGAGCTATTTCTAAAAATAATAAAGAAATCAAAGAAACATAAACAAACGTGCTTGCAAACAAAATGGGGGGACGCGGACAAGGTCTCGTGGAAAGATTCATTCTTTTCCTCCCCTTCTACGGAGGTCTTTGATCTTACATGACGTCCTCCACTGTCTTGGGGGTATCAGAGTGGGACGGGGGGGCAAGGAGACCCAAGGACAAAGTTCATACAATGCCTTCGGACAAGTCTTGGCTTCTCAGATTCATTGACCTCACAAAGAGGCGGGTGGGGCCATCAACTAAATCTGGGGTCTTCAAACTTGGCCCTTTTATGACTTGTGGACTTCAACTCCCGGAATTCCCCAGCCAGCGTGCCTGGCTGAGGAATTCTGGGAGTTGAAGTCCACAAGTCATAAAAGGGCCAAGTTTGAAGACCCCTGAGCTAAATCAAGGAGGAATAAGAGACACCATCCATCCAGCCACCTCCATTGTATGCATGGTCTTCCGATTGCCTGAGGGAAGGTCCCTTACCTGTAACTTTGAGTTCCGTTGTGCGTCTAATCAACTTCCCTTCAAACTTCAGCTCACAAGTATAATTTCCACCGTCTTCCTCCTGAACATCTTCTATTGAAAGTGTGTTCTCTTTCTGTACCACCACGCTTCTCCAGAGTTTGGTCTTGCACTCCTGAGGGGGAGAGGAAGCAAAACAACACAAAAAGATCGGCGATCCCGCTAATGCAACTTGACTGGATCTTCAATTATGTACGATCTGTTTTATTTATTTGCTAACATTTCGGGAGTGACCCAGGAAGGGGAGTCTTGCAAGTCCCAGGTCAACCTTGTGAATTTCTGAGGCCAGAGAATTTACCGCCCATCAGAGGAAGGAAGGTTTGAGAGCAGATTAGAAGAGGTGGAATCCTTCCGTTTTTCTTTTTACACATTGGCTGGGAATTCTGGGGACTGTAGTCCTACCCCAAGCGGAAAAACCTGCCCCCCCCTAGAAGCTATTGCAATGTGCTTTGTTGCCTTATCTGCACACCAGTCATTTTCAAAAACTCTGACTTGCAATCCTGTCGTTCCATTTCTTTTTTCAATGGGCAATCTCCCTTCTGCTCAGTTTAATCAGGATGACAGCTTAATTGTTAGTTGTCACCCATCAGGCAGATGTGGTGCAACTTATGGGTGGAACTTGGATAATAATGAGGCAAAAGACCTCGGCATAGGGTGTGTTGAAATGTTGCTTCAGCTACAAACTCATTTGGCCTTCGACACACAGAACTAAATGCATGTGAATGGGTGGGTCACACAGATGCATGCACACACACACACACACACACACACAGAGAGAGAGAGAGAGAGAGAGAGAGAGAGAGAGAGAGAGAGAGAGAGAGAGAGAGAGAGAGAGAGAGAGAGAGAGAGAGAGAGAGAGAGAGAGAGAGAGAGAGAGAGAGAGAGAGAGAGAGAGAGAGAGAGAGAGAGAGAGAGAGAGAGAGAGAGAGAGAGAGAGAGAGAGAGNAGAGAGAGAGACAGAGAGAGAGACAGAGAGAGACAGAGAGAGAGAGACAGAGAGAGAGGAGAGAGGGGGCACATGTATTGGAGGGTGACTCCCCAAATTCCCAGCCAACAGGATCAAACTTTGGAAAGGTTAGGCTGAGTCAAGAAATAGCCATGGCTACTTTCTTGTCACGGGGTATCACAATAAACGCTTCAAATTGTGAGAACAATCAACCAGTGAAATGGCTTGCCTTCAGAAGGTGTGGGTGCCCCATCGCTGGACGCTTTCAAGAAGAGACTGGACAGCCATTTGTCTGAAATGGTATAAGGGTCTCTTGCTTGAGCACGGGGTTGGACTAGAAGACCTCCAAGGTCCGTTCCAGCTGTATTATTCTGTTATTCGTTCTCTTGTTGACATCTACCTGACATCTACCCTTCTCTGCCCCTGCCCCACACACAGATATGGCAGCAGGGAAGGAAGAGATGAACTTTGCTAAACTGCTTTCTGGGTGACAGTTTTCAAAATCAGGGTAAGGACCTCATGAGATTAGGACAAAATCTGCTTCTGTCCCTGGGGGCTGAAGGATGCCACTATGTTGTTCTTCTAATCAAAATCTTCCTGACCTTGGGAGAGCTACATCCTTTGGTTGCCTCCTCTGCTAGGCTGGCTTGAGATAAATATTTTTCTCATAGGGGGCAAAGTTACTCCCAAGCAAATACAGCAACCACCCCCACCCCACCTCCCACTAACTCCCTCGGCTTCTGCTAATCTCTCCTCCCAGCACGGATGTTGTCAGCCCTCCCTGACATATGACCAAGAATCAGAAGGTCTCTGCTCTCTTCTGACCTATTGCCAGGCTCTGCATGTCGTCCTGGTTCCAGAAAAAATTATTTGCAAACATTGCAGCACTGGAAACAAAGCTGATCAGTTGACGTTGCAATTGCCTCATTCTGCTTTGGCAGCAAGGCATGGAGAAAGGAGGGAGGGAGGGAGGGAGGGAGGGAGGGAGGGAGGAAGGAAGGAAGGAAGGAAGGGAGGAGAGGGAACAAGGAAGAAAGGAAGGAAGGAAGGAAGGAAGAAAGAAAAGAAGGAAAGAAGGAAGGAAGGAAGGAAGGAAGGAGGGAAGGAAGGAAGGAAGCAAAAAAGCAAAGAAGGAAAGGAAAGAAGGAAGGAAGGAAGGGAAGGAAGGAAGGAAGGAAGGAAGGAAGGAAGGGAAAGAAGGAAGGAAGGAAGGAAGGAAGGAAGGAAGGGAGGGAGGAGCGGGAACAAGGAAGGAAGGAAGGAAGGAAGGAAGGAAGAAAAGAAGAAAAGAAGGAAAGAAGGAAGGAAGGAAGCAAAGAAGCAAAGAAGGAAAGGAAAGAAGCAAAGAAGCAAAGAAGGAAGGAAGGAAAAAAGGAAGGGGAGGGAAGGAAGGAAGGAAATAGAGGGATGGAGGAATCCCAAATGAAATAAAAGAAAAAAGGGCTTTAATTAAGCCTACACAAGACCAACTCGGGAATAAAGCTGTAGGCTGTCCCAGAATGAAAAGCCGTCCATATATAAAAGAGGGAAATCAAAGGAACAGTAACGACGTCTGTCAACTAAAAGTGTCTTTTTCCAGAATTTTACCCCTAGGATGAAGCTCATACTGAAAAGATGCTCCACCAAGCTCTTCCTTCCCAACGTGTGAGGCCCCCTACAGTACTGAAGCTTGTCTTTTCTTTTCCTTTTTTAGGGAAACCTGAAAAGTCTGATGGCTTTGAAACTATTTCTTTTTTCTTTTTTACAATTTTGGGTCACTGACTTCCAGCAGACAGCTTCCTGGTCCACCCTCGTTCTGAGCCTTGCTTTATTTTCTGAGCTTTATTTTCTTGTTAGGCCATCTGCGTATTTTTATTTATTTTTTAATGAGTTGCTTCCTGTTAGCTGCTTTGGATGGCCAGAAAAAAGCAGAGTTGAAATTCATTTTAAAAACCCGTTTTTGTTTGTTTGTTTGTTTCTCTTAAGGTATGGCGTCATATTTGTTTGTTTGTAACGGTCTCACCTTATACCAGATGATATCCGGCTCTTGCTTGCCTGTTTTGTAATCCTCCGTATCCGGGCAGGAAATGACTTTGGTCCTGGTAATTTCTGATTTTTCTAAGTAGCGGATTGTGCTGTTGTAACAAAGTCCAAGTTCATTTTCAGCGACCGTCAAGGACATGGATACTTTCATGCAATATGTTGAGTTTCTGCAGAGAAATAACAGAAGGTGGCGCCGGTTAAAACATAAAATTGACATTACTCATCCTCTGAGTCAATTGCATTTGTCTTCAAACACGGAGCGTGCAAACAGGGACGAAACACAGGTATTAAGAACCACGGTGGAGCCCAACATTTATGTCGCTAAGTGAGTTAAGGGAGTTTTGCCTCGTTTTACGACCTTTCGTGACACAGTGAATCACTGCAGTTGTTAAGTTAATAACCTGGTCGTTAAGTGGATCCAGCTTCCCCGTTGACTTTGCTTGTCGGAAGGTCGCAAAAGGAGACCACGTGACCCGCCCGGGATGCTGCGACCGTCATAAATATGAACCAGTTGCCAAGCGTCCGAATTTTGAGCAGGGGGAATGCTGCAACGGTCGCGTGAAGAATAGTGTTAATTCACTTTTTTCAGTGCCGTTGTGACTTTGAATGGCCAGTAAATGAATCATTGTAAGTCAAGGACTATCTGTCCTTTGAAAAAAACCACTGGATGGTGAATAATAAACAATGAAATTAGAAGCAGTTGACTAAGTAAGTAAAAGAAAAAAGAAAAAGTGAGGGCATTTTGGCATTCCAAAATAAGAGGGACCCATTGTGGTGACCTGCTTCATTTTTTGCAAGTTAAATCAATGAACAATGAATGGCGTGCTTGACGCTGTCTTTATTTGAATCCAAAGCAAGAATCTGAAAAATAATTTGCCTCTCCAGAGTCTGGCAGACGAGGGGAAAAAAATTAACAGTGAGAAATCACATTAACTGCATTAAACAAATTGATTTTTAAGATTTATTCAGGTTTCATTTCATTACAATTTTAGTGAGATTTCATTACAGTCAATTAAATAAAACTAAATTTAGCTTTTGACCTGTCCTCCTATATTCCTTTATATCTCATGCTAATCACATTTGCTTTTTTTAAAAAAAACCAAAACTTATTCCTACTCTCCATATGAACGATGCACTAAAATATGCTTATTTATCTAGAGTTTTGGGCCCACTGCAGTAGGGGGGGTATTCTCATTTTAATTTTCCAATTCGGTAAAACAAGGACCCAGATTTGTTGGGGGGGGGGGCAAGAGGCTGACTCTAATAAACCGCTTAGAAAGGGCTGCAATACACTATGAAGCGGTATATAAGTCTAAGGGCTATTGCTATAAGTCATTTTTTTTTTCCCAACTCTGAATGGTTGCTAAAAAAAATGGCTGTAACTCGAGGACTATCTGTGCTGGATCCGAGGAAAATTTAAAATGCAGAACGGAAAACTGGGTCAAATGCCTCCGTTTCACCAGACTAAGCAACTACCCAGAAAAAAAACGGCTCACGGATAGTTGCCCCAGTCTTCGCATCAAATATTTACAGATCCGACGACGCAGCAACGTCGCAATCCAATCTGTCAGATTTCGAGTTTAATCAAGCAGAGTTGGGGGACGCATCCCTTTAAGACAAGACGGGGGAAACTGACAGATGCCTTAACGAGGGCTGAGGTTTTCCCATCGTGCCTTTTTTTCTCTCGTCATTTTAATTGGCTTCCCTGCGAAAGGGGATCGGAGTCAGACTGCGATGTTGAGGGGTTCCAAATTCGCAAAGGGGGACACCCACCCCCCCAGAGAGAACTTTGCCAGTGATAGACAGCGAGCTCCTGCTGAATGGAGCATCACCTCGGGATGCTTTTTCCCTGTTGAAATCAACTCTTTTAGAAGGTTTGATTGATAAGAAGTGGGGATAATTTTATTTATTAAATGTACTGGCCACCCATCTTACCACAGGCTAACTTTGGATGGCTTACAATGTTAAAAAAAAATACTACAAAAAATACAAAGCAAACAGGGGGTCACACTTCATCCTCTTGTGCCCATGTAAAGATTCCAGACTAATTCCCCACTTGACTCCTCCCTCTGGCTTGGCCAGTCTCTCTCCAATATGTATTCAGGCAGCCCTTGACTTACGACTGGAAAAATGGAATCCTTAAGCAACGCAGTTGTTAAGCGAGGTATCCCACGACCGCACCCAATTTTATGACTTTTTTTGGGGGGGGGGGTCGCGGCTTTTAAGCAAATCACATGATCTTGGTTTGTGACCTGCCCTGCCAGATTCCCCATTGACTTTGCTTGCCAAAAATTAGCCGAGAAGATTGCCAATGGTGATCAGGTGATTCCACAGGATGCTGAAATTGTTGTAAATGTGAGCCGGCTGCCAAATGCCTGGATCACAATTACGTGACTGTAGGGAACACTGTGACAGTTGTAAGCCCAAGAAATGGTCATACATTACTTTGTCCAGCACCATCGTTAACTTCAAATCATCTCTAAACAAACGGTCAAAAGCCAAGGATTCCCTGTATATATGTTTACATATATGTTTTCGTAGATTTTCACGGGTACAGGTATGCAGGTCTTGGCGTATTCGGGTCTTTTCCTGTGTAAGATTGAGAGTATCTTGGCGACGTTTCGACAAGGTCCCACTCGTCATCTTCAGGCTGGGGTCTTCGGCTTCGTGCTTGTGCGAGCAAAGTGTGAAGCAGCTCCGATCAAACTTTGCTCGCACAAGCACGAAGCCAAAGACCCCAGCCTGAAGATGACGAGTGGGACCTCATTGAAACGTCGCCAAGATACTCTCAATCTTACACGGAAAAAGACCCGAATACGCCAAGACCGTTTACATATATGTATATACACCATATTAAGACCGAAGGCATTCTCGGCCAACCTGAAGCCACATCATCAAGCCTGTTTAGATTCCAACCTGACCACTAGCTCTTCCAGAAGCTTTTCTTCATTCACCTGCCATTCTCATTCAGCTTCTCTACCATCCGTGCTCCGGGAAGAGTGGTTAATAATTAACTTGCTCAAAGGATTATGAATTTTCTTGATTAGAGGACCAAAAGGTCAGCCAGTTGGGAAGATCGGGGTAAGAATAAGTTCACGAGAGAGTTTGTAACACAGGCAGCGGGTACCACCGAACAACACCTTTCGACAAACGACTCGGTTAATGATCTTGCATTATTTAGTTCATATTTTTCAACACCGCCTAGGGCAGATTCTATTTAAATTGCTCGCTGGCACAAGGGCCTAAAACTGCTGAATTCTTCTCATTAGCTACAATTAGGTAAGAGTCAGATTGAGGAAACGTACCATCCGATTAGTCAAACATTGCATGTACTTGCCCGGAGGGAGAAGCTGCATTAGCAAAGGATTAGTACAGCACAATATACATTTGCACATGTTCTAAAAATAGTTAGTAAACTTCCGATAAAAGCTTGTCTCAATGACCAACTCCCTCGTTGATCTGGAATTTGTTTTGGCTATTCCATGAAAATCACTCTAAGAAGCAGCCAATTGTGGTCCAATTGCCAAGAAGGAGATATACAATATGAGGGCACTAGGGTGAGTCTGTGCAAGATTCTTTTTAATGGAAGGAAGGACTAGTGGTGTTCCAATATTTGAGGGGTTGCCACAAAGAAGAGGGGGTCCACCTCTTGTCCAAAGCACCAGAAGGCAGGACAAGAAACAACGGATGGAAACTAATCAAGGAGAGAACCAACCTAGAATTAAGTAGAAATTTCTTGACAATGAGAACAATTAACCAGTGGAACAACCTGCCTCCAGAAGTTGTGGATGCTCCAACACTAGAAGTTTTTAAGAAGAGATTGGACAACCATTTGTCTGAAATGTTATAGGGTTTCCTGCCTGAGCAGGGGGTTGGACTAGAAGACCTCCAAGGTCGCTTCCAACTCTATTAGTCTGTTCTGTTCTTTATCAGCATAGTCAACATTTGTTTTGTTGGTTGGTTGCTTTCAGCCTAATTATATGCTGCTGAGCAGCTCGCAACAAAACTAACATCAACAACACAGAATGATTGATTCTTCCTAACGAAAAGAAGAATTAGGGGTCATATGATAGCTGTCTTTTGGTACATAAGAAGCTGTCACAGAGAGAATGAGGTTGACTTATTCTTCAAAGCACCTGAAAGCAGGACAAGAAGCAATGGGTGGAAGCTCATTAAAGAGAGATGGAACTAAGGAGAAATTTCCTGACAATGAGAACAATTAACCAGTGGAATGATTTGCCTCCAGAAGTTGTGGGTACTCCAACACTGGAGGTTTTCAAGAAAAAATTGGACCATCATTTGTCCAGGATGATATGAGGTCTCCTGCCATGAGCAGGGGATTGGATTAAAAGACCTCCATGGTGTATTCTATTCTATTCTATTCTATTCTATTCTATTCTATTCTATTCTATTCTATTCTATTCTATTCTATTCTATTTCTGTATTGTATTGTACTCTACTCTACTCTATCCTACCCTACCCTACCCTACCCTACCCTATAAAATAAAGTAGAGTCCTCATTAAAGATGTGGTTACCAGATGTACAAGAATGGCCATCATAACATCAAATCTGTACCCCAAGAAAATGTCAGAAGAGGATCCTACTTTCCCCTTTGTACACTTATTTTGTTTCTTAAGTCAAATCACCCCAATTTTAGGTGGGGGAATCAGACAAATTCTGATCTATTGTCTCTCCAATGACATCACTTCATCAATATCATGTCTTACGCTGTTCTTGGAAACTGAAGAACCTCAGAGGATTCTTGTTCAACCGAGCTTACTTCACAGGACTGTTACCAGGGAGAAAAATAGAGTTACTGTGTGAATTCTGCCATTAGTTTTGGGATGAAGGCTGACATATGAGCACATGAATGTGTGGACTCCCCATCATGACACCCATCTGTTTTGTTACTGGTTCTCATCAAGAGATGCCTGAGAAAATGGATGAATTTCTCTCTACCTCCTGTATATTATTCCATTCCCTCTTGATCGGGGAGCTGATGGATGTTTTTAATGGTATATTTGTTGAATGGCTGTTGCTAGCTTTATCGCAGCAGCTTTTCACCTTGTACTGCTAGAATAATAATAATAAAAAGCTGCCCAGTTAGTGCTCTCCATGAAGGGAGTTGATGTTTTATATTTGTGTTCATTATAGTCTCATTTTACT